GGTCTACGGGGGGGGGCCAACGGCCAGGATCGCCGGAGAAAGAGACTGCGCCTTCGGCGATCCACGCCAGGGGGGCGCCGTCGTCCGCCAAGAACATCGCGCTGCCATCGGCGGCACCAGGGGGGCGGCCAACGGCCACAAACACTTGGTGAGTCAGGCCTCTGCAGGGGGGGGCTCACGGCCGCGATCACCGGCGAAAAATGGTCTCTGGGGGGGGGGGGGGGGCTAACGGCCACGATCACCGGCGAAGAAGACCGCCTGGGGGCGACGGTCGCCCGCCACGGGCACCACGCTGCCATCGGCGGCGCCAGGGCGGCGGCGCACGAGCGGCTGCATCTCTCGCAATACCCACCCAGCAAGGAGTCGCGGCCAGCGCACGGGCGCGCTGCTCGCGGCCCCCCGGCGGGCCGAGGCAGACGCTGACGTCGACTGCGAGAACGCGAGCAGCGCAAGACGAAGGCCCAACGCCGCGCGGGCCGAGACACAAGGCCAGAAACCAGCGCACTGGCGCGTGGCGCGCCGGCGTCTGGCGCTGCAGGTGCTCGAGCAAGGGAATCGCGGCGGCTGCTGGGTCGGTCTCTTGCGCCACGGCTGCGCCAACGGCACCTCCGCCGCCCCCGTGCCGGCGACGCCGCCGCACGCCTGCATCTTGGGCCAGCGGCGGTGCGTTCTCGTCCGCTGGCAGGCGGGCGCTTGGCTCCCGAGTCCTCTGGCTTCGTCTCGTCCTCGCAGTTACTCAGCTTGTTGGGCCTGGGGGCACGCGCGACGCGCTGGCCCTGTCAGCGCAGGGTGCCACGGAGCTCGCCCGCAGCGTCGCCTGAGAAGGACCCGAGGGCAGCCGCGAGGTCATCGCCCGCGCGCGCGTGGATGCAACGACGGGACGCGAAGACGCCGAGGTCATCAGGAAGGGAAGCCGCTCGCTCAGAGTATTCTGGCCTATCTCCCTCGCCGTCTCGAAGATGATGATCTCGGTGCGTTTGAATGTTCTGTCGCCCAAAGGTCGAGCAACGTTCACTGCCGAATTTCGGAAAGAACCCACCCACCATTGGGCACAAACTCCGATCACCGAACCGTGCCCCGCAAGGGTGATCCGTCGGGAATGCACCCGCGGGGCGACGTCGACGGTCAGGGAGATGCTGCGACTGTGCCAACGTTGAAGGAAGCCCTCCACCCAGCGATCGAGCAGCGGCCCAGCTGGCAGATCGCGTCGCACGGTGCCTCCGGCGATGACGCGAACGTGCTTCAGCCCAGAACTGATGCCGAGCCCACCAGGAACTTGAGGCCCGCGACCTAGCACAGGTCTGAACCCTCCAACAGGACCACGGCCTCCTTCGGGGGAGCACGGTCGACAGCGGGCGCGAAAGCTGAGCGCGAGAGCGAATGGACCACGTAGGGGTCTTGTATCACAAGGTCGGCGCATTGCGCGTGCGATGCGCACTGCCAATATAGCTGCCGCAGGGTGATGCCGCGCGTGCCACACTCGAAAACCTTGTCTTCGAGCAGCATCGGCCGGCCCGGCTCCAACGGTCCAGCTGGGGCCGCCGGCAATTGGTCGCGCCGGAACACGCAGCCCCCCACCGCATGGAAGGGGCACCGCGCGCCATGCCTGCCGGCAACCGCGCGCCGAACCCGCTGCCTAGCATTGCAGGTACCAGCGGAAGTACGACAGCCCAAACGTGGCATCGACCCAAGAGTAGCCTGGGTCGAAGGGAATATTGGACCCACAGAAGCGCCGTCACCACGATGGCACGACCTCCGCCGCCAGGCGCGCTGGATGGACCCGACAGCCCGTGCCCTCGCTCCACCGAAATCGAACGGCTGCGTAGGCGGCGATCGCGTCTCGCTCTGGGCCGCCCCCAGGGAGCACAACCCCAAAGCACACCTGGATCTTCGGCATCGTCACCAAGCTTGCTGAATCAAGACGACCTGGGCAGCGTGGCGTCCAGCCCAATCAGCATGAAACGCTTCTGCTGAAACCCGTTTGAAAGGGGACGTCGGAGGGCGGAATGGGCATCGAGTACAGGCCAACCAGCTCGCCTTCCCCCACGACTTCCGCCAGGTGCCCGCCGCGTTGTGGAACGAACTCGGCCGCATCTGCACGCACCTGCCCGACGCGTCTCCACACGCGGGCCGCGTGAGACCGGCCCCCTCGCTGCAGGCGTGGAAACTCTCGCAAAGGAATGCTCCAGGAACTGGTACCAGCCAACGTTCCTGGCCGCGCGCTCGCGGGAGGTCGGTGAGGCGACGTCCTCCTGTCCACGGCGCAGCAGCCGCCATCTCAATATCGGTTCAGCAGCATCGAGGCGGGCCTGAATCTCAGATCTCAGAGAGAGCGTGATCCACCGCCGCTTTATAATAGAAAATGATCCCCCCTCTTCCTCCGGACCCCTCCCCCCTCCCCCCGGCAAATCCCCCTCCCCTACCCCCCCCCTCTGGAAAACCGGGGGAGGCCACTACCGGTTCGGACCCCCCACCACCTCCGGAAAACCGGGGAAGGTCACTACCGGTCCGAAACCCCTGACCCCTCCCCCCCAGAAAACCAAAGGGAGGTCACTACCGGTTCGAGCCACCCTCCCCCGCCCTCCAGAAAACCGGGGGGGGTCACTACCGGTTCGAACCCCCCCCCTCCCCCCCTCCAGAAAACCGAAGGGGGTCACTGCCGGTTCGAACCCCCCCCTTCGAAAACGGGGGGGGCCACTACCGGTTCGAACCCCCCCCCACGCTCACCGCCAGCAAACGACTCCCGGGTTCCTACCACCGTCCGCACCACATCCCCCACTGTTATCCCTGGCGCCACTGTCCTCACCACCAGTGTCCCCACTGTTCCCGCCACCGTCCCCACTGTCCCCACCAGTGCCCCGACCACTGTCGCACCTCCCCCACTGTCCCCACCACTCTTCCCACCACGGGTCCACTCTCCCCACTTTCTCCACTGCCCCAGCCACTGTCCCACTGTCCCCACTGTTCCACTGTCCCACTGTCCCCGCCGCTGTCCCACTGAGTTGTCCCACTGTTCCCATAACTGTCCCCACTGTCCCCACCACTGTCACCACTGCACCTCTGTCCCATTTTCCCACCGCCGTCCCCGCCACCGCCCTCACCACTGTCCCCACCACCACTGTACCCTCCACAGTCCCACTGTTTCCACCACATTCCCACTGTCCCCACACTACTGTCCCCACCACCACCGTCCACACCACTGTCCCATTGCCCCCACTGTTCCCACCATTGTCCCCGCTGTCCCCACCAGTGCCCCCACCAGTGTCTCACTGTCCCCACTCTCCCCACCATTGTCCCACCGCGGTCCCACTCTCCCCATGTTTCCCACGGTCCCCACCACTGTCCCACTGTCCCGAGGAGCGGGAATCGGTTGCCGGCGGCGAGGGCGGCGGGTTCGAACCGGTAGTGACCCCCCCCGGTTTTCGAGGGGAGAGGGGGTTCGAACCAGCAAAGACCTCCCCCCCTTTTCATGATGGACTGGGAGGGAGGGGGGGAGGGGGTCGAAGCGGTAGTGACACCCCCCCCGTTTTCGAGAGGGGGGGGGGCGGGTTGGGAACCCCCAGTGACCCCCCCCGGTTTTCCGCCAGCAGCGGTAGAACACGCTCTTTAGAATCTCACGCTCCAGTTTGCTGTCTACTCGGGCACCCTGCTGGAGCGCCTCGAGTTCTTGCCCAAGATCCCGACCGTGGCAGCGACGTCATTGAGATGCTTGTTCCGCCCCATGGCTGGAGAAAGGCCCCGGCGCTCGTAGCCATCACCGGGGCAAGTGCGCGAAAGAAACGCGCGGGGTCATCTTCAGGTTGGCTCCTGAGCCAAAACGGCTACGGAGGCTGGTGTGGTTACGCGAAGCGTGAGGGATTGTTGTTGCGAAACCTTGTGTGTTGCACATGTTTCGGGACACTCGATTTTGAAATCCTTACGAAGCCTACGGTTTGTGAAAGATTTCGGCATGCGCGCGACGACGTGCGCGTGACTTCGCCCAATTTGTTTTAAGGGATTCTCGCGACAGCACGCGCGCAAGGGCGTTCGAATGATTTCGACATGCGCGCACATGAGGCCCGTCTGGTACCACGTTTTGAAAACAATCGTGAAACAAACGAAAAACATGTTTGTCTTAAGATTTCGCGAGAGCGCGAGCGCATTTTTGTTTGAAAATGGTTGTTGCGAAACCATTTGTTGTTACATGTGTTCGAGACATTCGGCTCTGAACTCCTTCCGAAACCCAAGGATGGTGAAGAGTTTCGGTGTGCGCGCGCCACGACGCGCGCGTGTGCACTTCATCTCAAACTGATGAAGTTATGATAAACGAGTGCGCGTGCATTGCAGGTTTGGAAGAGGAGGAGGGAGCGATACCGGCCTGCCTGGGATGGCTGGGATGGTACGAACTCATATTTAGGATGGGCGGTGGGGCGGAATCAGATGCAAATTGCAATACGAAAAGGGGGGGGGTAAGTCTGGGCGGGTGAAATATACGCGGTCCATTCGATGAGGCACAAACAACGAAAATCGATCTATGCGGTGCAATCAATGCGAGGCGGCGACGGGACGGCGACGGCGAACACGGAGCCGCTAGACTGGCCAGCAGGCCCAGACGGCGGGCGGGGACGAGGCGGCGACGGGGCGGCGACGGCGAGCACGGAACCGCAAGACTGGCACGCAGGCCCAAACGACGCGCGGCGACGAGGCGGCGACGGGGAGGCGAGGGCGAGCACGGAGCCGGCGGACCAGCCCGCAAGCTCAGCTCCTTAGAACAAAAAACTAGAACCCCTAACACACCGAGGCACTACGCGGGGAAGAAACTTTTAGAGGTCCGCGCCGGCTTCCTGGATCGGCGCTGGACCCCCTTCCCTGGGCCGCAGGAGCGCGGAGCGCGCCAGGGAGGGACTCCAGCGCCGATTCCAGAACTCCTCGCGGACCTCCAGAAGTCTGTCTCTACGCAACGTGTTGTTCCCCGAGCCATGTGTTTGGGGGGCTGGCACGCGTCCCGAGGGCCAGCGCACCTCGAGGGACTTGTCCCGCAGCTGCGGCAGCACCGCCACGGCGGCCGCCACGGTGGCCTCGGGCCCACGGGCCCGCGCCACTCGCACCCAGCCGCGCACGGCGGCGCCGCGGACGCCCTCGTCGGGGTCGCCCGCCATCGCCAGCACCTCGGAGCGGGGCGAGTTGAGACAACCAGCAGAGCTCCAGCGATACACCTACACCAATCCTGGCCAGGGCCATCCTGGGCCCAGGATCGGTGTGGACTCCGCCCGGCTTTGGACAGGAAGGTAGATACACCGATCCTGGGCCGATCCTGGGCACAGAATCAATGTGGATGCATGGTTGGCTACCTCCGAACAACGGCAGCTCAGAATCGGTCCCCGGACCCCATCCTGGGACCCAGACGCACCAGTTACTCCGTCCGGCCGTGTCGACGCGGTGGCCCCCCCAAGGCCAACTACCATTGTCTCATCGATGATCCTCAGAGCGTGTGTTGGCACCAACGTGTCCTTGTCCACCGAAGCCCTAGAAACAGGGGGCAGGCGGCTTAGCCGACGCGGGCCAGCCCGGGTTGCGTGCTATCGAAAAAACTGAACGGGGCAAACACACATGCACACACACACACACACACAAATACACTGTGCTAACATGAAACGCATAAAGACATACTAGAACAACGTACACCCGAGCCGAACATATAGTGGTAACATACTATTGAATCTCATTACCCAGGCGGTATGGCCAGAGGGCGCCCGCCATCGAGCGTATTTCACTTCTCGCCGAGCACGTCGCACAAGGTGGGGGGCGATGATACCATAGTGCAAGTATGTTTCGCTGATGCCGATAACACACGTCCCGATAATCCGTAATTTTCAGCACTCGAAAACATTGAGCACACTCCCCCGTCATCCACCGTCTCTTCCATGTCCTGTCCATTCCACTCCTTATCCCGCCTCCTCCTCCACCTCCTCCTCGTCATCATCAGATTAGTAGTATCCATCTCCTTCTTAGCACGTGAAGTAGTGGTCGAATTAGTAGTATCATTATAATTAGTACTGTCGTTGTTATTCCCATGCGGTACCTCCTCACTGGTAGTATTAATATTAACCATACGATGTTTATCAATAGTCCCATTAGTATTCGTAATAACCGTCTGATAATTTGTCTCACCTCTATTATGAAGAGTCTGTATAATACTATCATCCATAGCATTCTTAACATCACAAGTCTGCTTCGCATTCATGCCATTAGTACTATTAGTAGTCTGGCGCACTCCGTATCATGCATAATCGTACTACGCACGATCGACTTCCAGCATTTTGCTTTAAAAGAAAAAATATAGAAAAGGTTTGAGTATGCGTAATAGTATGCTTAGTACAAGCACTCATAATAGTATTGGTATTGTTATTGTTCGTTTACTGTTGTTCTTATCCCAGTGATTATGCTCCTTCCTCTGATTTTCCTTCGCCTTCCAAAATAATCATTTTCTCCCCTCTCCTCCTCATTATCCCCCTCCTCGTCCTCCTCATCCCCATCCTCATCCTCCCCATCCTCCTCTTCCTCCTCCTCTTCCTCCTCTTCCTCCTCCTCCTCTTTTTCCTCCTCTGGTTCTTCATGATCATCATCATCATCATCATCATCATCATCATCATCACCACCACCACCACCACCACCACCACCATCATCATCATCATCATCATCATCATCATCATCATCATCATCATCATCATCATCATCATCATCATCATCATCATCATCATCATCATCATGTTTCTCATTATCCTCCTCCTCCACCTCCTCCCCCCCACACCGCCCCACGTCCTGAGGATCATCGACTTCAACACGCCTCCCTCTGAACACCGCGAAGGCGGCGCTGCGGCAGCCCTTGGCCGCCCCCGCGGCCACGGCCCCCGCGGCCTCGGAGAGCAGCAGCGGCGCCACGCGGCGCGGCGCGCAGGCGCCCCCGCCGCCGGCCGCGCCACCCCGCGCGAGCAGCCTGGCAGGATCGACTTGGCATGAAATTGTCACTTTCCCTATTTCGTGCGGGGGCACAGATATACGATCGGACCCGGGACCGAAGATCACCCTTCCTTCAAGAAAATGAGACCCCCCGGCGGCCCAAACTGAAAAACACTCGAGGGTGCCCTCCCCAAGGATGCACAAGAACATCCAATAAACACGAATTACGAGGGCAATGTCAGCTTGTAGTTCTTAAAAACACGGGGCGCGCGCGATTAAAAAATGGCTCCCCTGCCAGAGCGAATAGCGGGGGAGGCTCCCGCCAAATGGAACCACGCGGCGGCGGCGCCGGTGGTTGGCGCCGACGCCCGGCCGCCAATGACAGGGCGAGCGGCGCAACGCAAGCGGCGCCGCTTCAGCGGAGGGGAACAGGGGACAGAGAAAAAAGAGGCGGGGGGGAGAGGCGCATCCGCTGGCGGGCGGCGCCGACATGGGAAAGAGCCCGTTCTGTGGTCGCTTCGAGAGGAGGGGGGGGGTGGAACCGGACCCCCCCCCCGACCCCCCCCCCCTTCCTCTCCCCCTCCTCCCCCATTTCTCCTCTCTCCCTCTCCTCGGGCCGGCGCTTAACGTCGGCGGCGGCTGGCGGCGGCGGCGGAAACGGCGACTTCCTATTCTGGGCACGAACATCGACGACGACCCCGGCGCAATCAGACCTAATTTTGCCATCACCGCGCCTCGGGCTGACAACCAAGACCACTCCAGTATTTAAATTTTGGGGCAGACGCGCCCGTCCGCGAATGCAGCGGATGACGCGACGACGGGGGCAGCGACGTCGACGACGAATAAGACAACGCGAACAACCGACAACCACGACAACAAACGCAACGTCGACAACCGACGGGTCGCGGCCCATGGAGAACAAACGACCATCGACGACGACGACGGCGACGACAACGACGCAAGCCGCCCCAATTTGTTCACACCATCGCGCCTCAAGTCCATTACCAGAAACAATCCATGATTTTAAATCCACAGTGAAGACGCACCCGTCTGCGAGTAGGGCGCCGACCAACGACAGAGACGACGACGACAAGGACGACGGCTACAACATCAACAGCAAAATCAACAGTAACAACAAAAACAACAACAACGCAGACAACAACAACAACAACAACAACAACAACAACAACAACAACAACAACAACAACAACAACAACCACAACCACAACCACAACCACAACCACAACCACAACCACAACCACAACAACAACAACAACAACAACAACAACAACAACAACAAAAGCAAAAACAAAAACAAAAACAAAAACAACGGCGACGGCGACGACGGCAACAACAACAACGTCAACAACCAACGAGTCGGGACCAAATGACGGCCAACGACCATCGACGACAACCCCGACGCAATCCGACCGAATATTGACATCACCATGCCTCTAGCTGGAAACTCAAACACCTCGATATTTCAATTCTGGGGCAGGCGCGCCCGCCCGCCAACCAAAACGCCGACAAGAACGCCAATTTGAAACCCCCTATCTTCCGCGATGGAGGCCGTTTATAGATTCGCCGTGGCACTGTTTCCCGCTCGACCCCATCCTGGTCGTCCTCTCCTCCGCGATCCTGCTCCACGAGCTCGTCGTCCTCCTCCTCCCTCTCCTCCTCCTCTTCCCCTTCCTTCTCCGACGCCGACACCGCTGCCTCCCCCTCCCTCTCCTTCTCCGCCTCCCACCCCTCCAGTTCCTCGTCACCACCTCGCGATCCCTCTTTTCCTCCACCCCCCTCTATCCCAGCGCCGCTCCCACTGTCGCGCCCTCCTCACATCCACACTCCAAACACTTTCAAAACCACTCCTGGACTTCGCAAGCCGACGTACTTTTGCCGCGACGACGACAATGCGAGTCGCCCTAATGTGAACGTCTCCCATAGCTCACCCCGACTACGAAAACCACGCCCAAACTTCATTTTCAAACAGACGCGCCCGTCAGCAAGCACGGACGCCGAAAGCGGCGACGACGACGACAGCGACGAGGACGAAGACGACGACGACAAGGACATCGAGGAACAGCAAAAACAACGACAACGACGGCGACAACGACGCCCGACAACCAGAGCCAACAAAAAGACGAACGACATTTAACGCGGTACGACGACGACGCAAGCCCCTCTAATTTGAACATCGCCTCGCCGCCGGACACCACACAGAACCACTCCAGGATTTCATTTTTAAAAGCAGACGAGCCCGCCCCCCCGCGCGGACGCTGACGCCCGCAACGACGACCACGTCAGCGACAACGACGACGACGGCGTCAAGGACGACGACGACAACAACGACGACGACAACGACGGCGACAACAACACCGGACCACTGGCCACCGACGAGAACCGAACGACCATGCACACCAACGACAAGAGAAGCCGCCCTAATTTTGCCATCCCCATGCCTCTAATTGAAAACCAAAGCCACGCTGAGATTTTAAGGCAGACGCGCCCGTCCGCGAATACAGCTGATGACATGACGACGGCGACGGCGACGTCGACGACGACGAGGACAACGCGAACAACCGACAACGACAACTACGAAAGCACCGACGGCAACCGACGGCCCGCGACCCCCGAATAACAAACAGCATCCCCGACGACGACGACAACGACGAAAGCCGCCCCAATTAGTTCCAACCCTCGCGCCTCGAGTTCATTACCACAGCCAATCCATGATTTCACATCCACGGGGAACGCACCCGTCCGCGAGTAGAGCGCTGACAACGACAGCGACGACGACGACGACGACGACGACAATAACGGAAACTACAACAACAACAACAACAATTACTAGCACGTGGGGACACTCCGTTCTCACCAGTGCCAGGGTTTTCATAGGAGGCGGGCAATACCCCCACTTTGTGGGGGGGCCGGTTCAAGCTCTACCACATTTCCAAACGACTCTTCGCCACCACCCACACCCAGCTTCCCGCCCTATGACGTTCGGACACCTCACTTCGTGGCCTGCGGACGACCTTGGCTACTACACTGGCGCATGGGTACAATGACTTGTTGTGGTAACATTTTCTGTAAGCTAGCTTAGTATACGACTTTTCCCCCTGCAATTGAAGATTTCGGCGTGCGCGCGCGAAGAAAAAACGAATGTGTCCCGCATGGTATTATTTGACAGGGATGATGGCCCTGGCAGGTGCGCAACCGTTGTCGCAGAAGTTTGAAAAAGTTGCTCGCAAAAGCCCGTTTGACAAAATTGTTTAAAAAGTGATGGTTTTCCTACGAATCCGCAAGAGCGCGCGGGATGAGATTTTGACAATTTTTTATTTAAAAAACCATTGGGTTTTTAATGTTTTTATGTTGAAATCGCTCCGAAACCTAAGGTTTTGGAAGGATTTCGTCTTGCACGCGCGAATGTCCACTTTAGCTTATTTTTTGCAAGGGATTCTTGAAATTGGATTACATTTGAACAAGAAATTTCATTTTATAGTGTTTTTTGCAAGGGAAAGCGGGGGGGAACAAAACAACCGGATCCGGTACTAATCCACTTTTCTGAAGCTTTCGCGAAAAAATAATGAAAATGTAGCTGCGGCCTAGGTTTTGGAGGGGGGTCGTGTACCAGGGGTCCCAACAATAATTATTCTTTAGAAGTAATAATGTTCAACAACAACAACAACAACAACAACGACGACAACGCAGACAAAAAGAACAACCGACGACTGGCGACCGAGAGAAGGCAAACGATCATCGACGACAACCCCGACGCAATCCGACCTAATTTTGCCATCACCGTGCCTCGGGCTGACAACCAAAACCACTCCGATATTAAATTTTAGGGCAGACGCGCCCGTCCGCGAATACAGCTGATGACGCGACGACGGCGGAAACGACGTCGACGACGAATACGACAACGCGAACAACCGAGAACCACAACAACAAACGCAACGTCGGCAACCGACGGGTCGCGGCCCACGGAAACAAACGACCATCGACGACGACGACGACAACGACGCAAGCCGCCCTAATTTGTTCACATCATCGTGCTTCGGGTCCATTACCAGTCTCTCACTCATCCTACCTTCCATTCCAGAGAATTTCCTTATTCCGCGCTTGCAGAAATTCTGGGTTTCGCTCCGAACCAGAATTCCGGGTCTGGCAGAAAGAATTCTGGGTTTCAATAGGAATTCCCGGTTTCGCGAATCCACTCTGAGCCAGGTTTCGACTCAAAAAATTCCGGGTTTGGAGCGAATTTCCGGGTTGAACTCTCGACCATATCGGAGGTCCCAGCCGCCCGACACGTCCTCGGAGAACGACCCGAGTCCCAAAACCGCGCGATGACCTCGAACCCCCACCCTCGACTCACCACGCGGTGTGGTCACCACACAGTTTGGGGGGTTAGTGTGCACCCTGGGGAACAGAACTGGTTGGATGGGCAGGAAGGAGAGGCGGCAGGGGATAAAAAAGATGGAAGACCAAGCTCATACTGGTTTGAAGAGTTGCTCCCTGCGATTACTGTCAATATCATACTACTCTGATGAGTTGTTCCCCACGGTTGGGGTCAAGAGCGTCTTGCGCTGGCGGCTTGTCCCCCATCCTATCGTTCCCTATCGAATAGAGGCGACGCATCTCTGACTCCCAGGCGCACACAAGTCAGACTCTGAGAGCAGCCCGCGTCGCCCTTGCAGAACATTATGATTTATACATCGGCGATGACCCGGGCATTCTGGTAGAAGGGGGGGGGAAAGGGGGGAGGTGCCAGCCAATAACCTGACCTTTTCGCTTTGGGCAGCCCCACGTATGCTTGCGCGCATTAGGTCAAGTTCTGTGGGGGTAGAGGGAAAACTGCATAAGCATGAACGTTCAGAGGTCCGCGCGGATTTCTCAGATCCGCGCTGGACCTCCCTGGCGCGCTCCGCGCGCCAGGGAGCGGCGCCGGAGGCGCAGCCAGGGTTCTGGCGCAGATCCAAGACATCCGCGCGGAGCTCCGAAAATCCAGGCCCGTGCAATGGTTTCTGTCTTCGAGGGGGGCAGGCGGGCCCGATGACCCGTTGAGCGCTGGACCCTTTGGAGAAGACGCGAACTGACGCTGCATCGGCGCTACCTCATCGACCAACAAACGCTACGTCGACGCTAAAGCGCTCTGAGACCAAAGTACGAGGGTGCACGAGGCTCCCATGACGTGCTACCGAAGATGACCCGGGTCAGCGCCAGACCCTGAAAACAACAGTCTCCGCCTGGCCAGCGCCCGCAGCGCGGCCACGCGGACCTCGGGGCACCTGTCCGCCAGGAGCGCGCGCAGCGAGGCGGCCGCCCGCGGGTCGCCGCCGTCCGCCAGGAGCGCCACCGCCCCCGCGGCCCTCTCGCGCACCTTTCTGGGGTTGCTCAAGGTGCCCGTGGTTCAAGGTGCCCTCGGCTTCTCGCTCGACGTTGTAGCCCCTGGGCCTCTTGAGGGGTGATCTGGAGGTCGGTCGTGAGGGCCTCCTTGGAAAACCTGGGTGCACCTTGGGCCAGGGGCACGTCTGGCAACACCCCAAGCTTCAAGGCGCCCACCGACCCCGAATCGCTGGCGATCTATTCTTTCTTCTCGAAGCGTTCGGGCGATTTTGCCGAAAATGTCTGGACGTTTTCGTCGGTTCCTCGAGGCCTTCTCGCCTCGGGATGCTCCCCATCAGCTGCGCCTCGCCGAGGGTGTTCTGGGGAACCCCGGCTGGTCCGGAAGGGAGTTCTCCAGACGAGCTCTTCAAAATTCTGGCAACGGTCGTTACCCCCCGGGGGCGGGGGCCCGGGCAAGATCTGGGCGGGGTGTTTAGAGGAAAAAGATCTATGCACATACACCGATTCTGGCCAGACCCATCCTGAGCCCAGGATCGGTGCATATGCCCTCCTACCTTGGCCAGGAAGGCATATGCACCGATCCTGGGTCAAGGATGGACGTTGTCAGGATCGGTGCATGTGCATATTTCTCTTCGCCCGAGTGTTGGGGCGGGGGCGCGCGGCGACCGTCCAAAATAGGAGCGTGAGCACCAGCATGTGGGGGGGGGTCACGGGCCCCCGCCCCCCCCTGCGTAAGATGGTTAACCGCCACCCGGGGGGCAGGAGGCTTGGCCCGGGTACGGGAGGTTCGCGTCGTGACGACCCTGGCGTTGGTTTCTGACACCGCGTGGATCGTTCAACCTTAAACGATCGGCCGTTCCCGCAACGTCCAATCGTTCAACATCGACCGATTCTGGGTCGCCGGCGGCGTTCAACGTTAAACGCCGCGGGCGGGGTCGCCGACGGTCGACACGACGCGAACCTGCCGTAATGACCTTTACGCTCTGGAGGATTAAAAAAAGTCTCCCAAATCTCCGCCGAGATGTTTGTTCAATCTGGGCGTTTCTCCTCGATGTCGGCCCCCCGGCCCCTGATTGTAGGGCCCTGGGGCCATCAAAACAAATCTGCCGCAAAACCTCGGCCCCGGTCAAGGGGTCGGAACTTCTGAGGCCGCGCATGTAAAAATTACATCGGCCAACGTCAGGGCACCGACCACTCACACCGACCCTGGCCTGCCAGGCCCATCCCGAGCAGGATCCGCCAACATCGAGTAGAGAAAAACGGGTCGAACCGCCGTTTGGGCCGAATCGTGCGACATCCGCACGCAACCGGAATCGAATCAGATTGGCTGCGCCAAGATGCACAAAGGGGTTGCGGGAGGTGGGAGGCCTTTCAAGAAGGCCGGGGAGCTGGGGCCTCTGATCGGGGAGACGTAAGGCTCGGGTTCGGGGGACTCGGGTTGGCCTGACGGCGCCATCATGAAATTGACGAGACCCAGTCTGAATTTTGACGCGAACTCACGGTCCAAACATCCCACGGAAACTGGACCGTCAAATTCCAAGACGCGCTCGTCAAAAAGCGTCGGCTGGCCCGAGTTCCAGCGCACTCGAGTCTTACGTCTCCCCGATCTGAACACCCCTCCCCGCGCCTTCCAAGGAGCCATCTTAGAGGCCCCCCTGGCCCTTCGAAGGGGCCCCTTGCCTTCTTAGAGACCGCCCACAGTCGCGCCAACCCCTTGTGTGGCGAACGGACAACACGCACCAATATCCATAGGTGGGACGAAGAGGGCTATGGGTGCGCGTTGTCGGATGGGGGTCCCCGCTCGCGCGGGAGCTTCCCACAGGGTCCGACAACCTGTTCCCACACCCATAGCCGATCCTCCTCCCAAAGACCCCCTATGGGCATGGGTGCGGTGTTCGTTTGCCATTGCGCGTGCCGCACGCCAGTCGTGGGCACAGGAAAGCCCAGAATGGACTGGATGGTGGCAATCGTTTGCAGAAAAACGCGACCCCGCGCACACACGCGGATGATGCCGTAGTGGCCATGAAAATGCAAAACGTCCGAGCACACCTGGCGGACTGGTGCGCACAAGCAGAACGAGACAACGTGCGACAAAAGCGTTGTTGCACGCGCCCGCAGTGGCGGACGGTGCAGACGGTGCCGACGCAGACATACTGCGAGGGCGCACCGACGACACACGCCCGCACTGCACTTACACACGCACACACGCACACACGCACGCACGCACGCACGCACGCACGCACGCACGCACGCACGCACGCACACACACACACACACACACACACAGGCTCCCCGGCCCAAAGGTCGAGCCCATCCGCGGCCCAGGATCGGCGTACATAGGCCCCCCTGGCTCGGCGAGGGAGGCGCGGACACCCTGACATAATGTCAGCTCGTGATGAACACAAGGCCACCCCCCGGGAGCTGATGAATAGACCCCGCGGGGCGAGATACTTTGTTGTTGAATCACGCGCGCCAGGGGGAAGGAAGAGAGAGGAGGGGGAGGGAGAAGAAGGAGAAGGAGGAGGACGAGGAAGAGGAGGAGGACGAGGGAGGAGGAGGAGCAGGAGGAGGAGGATTTTTGCACCGAGCGATGAGCTCAGGGGGGAGGGAAAGGGGTGGGAGGAAGATGCGCCGCCCCTCCCTGCCCCTCGCGCACCTTCTTGTTGAAGGCCTCGCGCACTGGGAGGAGGCCTCGGTGGAGTTTCCGAAGGTTGTTTTCCCTTGGGAGAAACCCGCTTCAAACATTCCTGAGCGAGGCCCTGGATGACGCTGTCCATTCCGATGGCCCCACAACTTGTGCACGCCCACACGTCAGCGTGCTCAAAATACTGGCACGTGTGTGAGCTGTGCACCGTCTGGTTACCGATGCGAATGGGGCCGGAAGAGGAGAAAGAGGGGGCAGCACGAGGGTCGGTCGGAGCGCACGGTGTCGCGAGCCACTCGATAACTCCACTCCGAGCTGGCTTCTGGCGACAAGAGGCGCACGAAATCCGAGACCCATCAAAAGTCAAACCCGCACGGTGGGCGGAGCCGGCGACAGTCTTCTCGAGCCTGGACAAGCCCGCCCCTCGAGCGGCCTGGCCCGCTCTCTTTGCCCCTTGGAATCGTGACTGGCACACGAGATCAAGGTGGCTGCGAGACGGGCCCGGACCTGCTCGGCGACGGCGTCCACTGCTAGGACTTCGCCCGCGGCCTCGGGAGAGATCTGCACCCGGGCGGCCTCCCATCCAGCAATTCTGTCAGCCTCCCGGTTGGCTATCTGAACAGCTGAACAGCTTTGGAAGGCCGCTGACGCGGAATCGATCCGGGCACGCGTGACCTTCCTTCAACTTTAATTGAAGCGATTATGCGAGCCGGGCTGGATTCGATATCGCACGAGAGGGCATGCCAGAAGTCCTGGTTCGATTTCGGCATGGACCCGACCTGGAGTCTGCGCCGCCCTCGCACGACGCACCCGTTGTCTGTCAGGAACGTCAGATCATCACGCACATGCAGCAAACAGTCGAACAAAGCCTGTAATTCGGCTCGATTGCTGGTCTGACGGCGGCCGACAAGGCCAGCACCCCTTCGACGCGACACCTGGACATGGGGCAAAGCGGTGCCCACCTCGACCCACGCCCAGGCACATCTGCGCAACCTCGGGCCCTTAGCAGATTCCCCCCACGATCCGTCGCCCGCAAAGAGACGCCCGAGCACCTCGGGCGCGGCCCGGCCCCCGACCGGAGAGCCCGCACCTTCGTTCGCAGGGCGCGCGACGCCATGCGTTTCGACGTCGTCGAGGGGGGGGGGGGGGGGCAGAGGCGCCAAAGAGGCGGGGGCGAGGCCTCGAAGCCAGAAGCACTCGTGACTGCCGTCATCGAGGGCAGCTCAACGAGGTCGACAGACTCCGCGCATTCCGTCCGGCAGGGAGTCATTGCACTGACACTCCAAAAACACGATGCGCGAGAGTCCCAGGAGCGAGATGACACCTGGGACAAGTAGGGTCGAAATCTCCAATCACGCAGTCAGTCATTCTCTGCCTGGGCCACATACCTGCAGCAGCGGCACACTCGATGGCCGCTCGACGGTCATACTCTTGAGCCTTGCCCAGCTTGGACAGCTGCTGGCGCAAGCTAAGAAGATCCACTCCTTCCTGCCCCCCCCCCAAGTGCTGGGCGGGGACGCGCCTGACCAAAGTTGCTTCTCCACGGAAGCGCGCGCGGCGGCCAGCAGGCCGGAAGGGGTCAAAAGCAGAGAGAGCAGCAGCGAGAGCAGGGGGATCTTGAGCGGGGGCACCCCAGCGCCCCTCGAGCGGATCGCGCCACTCGGGAAGCCCAGGAGCTCCCCGCCCAAGGGAGGCGAGGGAGGCGATAATAGCAGAGATCGGGTCTTTCACATTCGACCAACGACGCTTGGCTGGAATAGACATGAAACGAGCATATACGCGAGCCCAAAACTCCGGTTTCGCGTCATCTTTCTCGATGACACGAAACCGTTCAACGAGCAGGTCATGCGCGGCGACGACGGCAGGATCACGCGATCCGCATATGAGAGCCAACACCGCGATTTAACACCTGCCCTGCTTTTGCTTCCAGACAGCACGCGCCGCCGCCTGCCGCAGCTTTTTGCATCGGCTGGGCGACGCTCCAGAAACTTTGGGCTCGCACATGGACTGGGGCACTGCTCCGGAATATTTGTTATTCTTGCTACGCCGCATGTGCTGCTTTAAGGATCTCAGCGCGGCGACGCGGTTTCCCCCGCGGACGCCTTTCTGCCAACGCTGGAGACCCCTAGACATACGCGAGTGGACGCGGGGTCTCCGATCTATGCCTGAGTCAGGGGCGCTGTCCGATGCCTGAATGTAAACTCCTGACTGCTTCAGTTCACTTACGATGGTCTTAGCAACGCTGGCAGTAGAAGCAATGACACTGGATTTGGGCGACAGAGACAGGTGGAGCTGGCAAAGCCCCTCTTTGAAAGCAACCACACAGGCAGCAGTTTGGTTAGTCACGATGCTCGCCGTGCCTTCAGAGCGAAAATAAACATCGTCGACCC